AGAGTCCCCCATAGCCCAGGGAGGAGCTCCCATAGCCCAGGGAGCCGTAACCTCCATAGCCCAGGAGGCTCCCAGAGCCCCCAACAAGAGGAGCTCCAACAGATCCCCCCACGGATTCCTGGGGGAAGGAGCTGAGGATGGGGCCAGGGAAGGTGACCACCACAGGGGGTGGCTGGATGACGGTGGTGGAGTCAGGGCACTGCCGCACACAGGGCTCGTTCCCACTGTCAGCCAGGGGCTGGGGGCGCATGATGCCGCTGACGGAGCACAGGTCGTAGCAGGACATCGTGCAGGGATGGAGGTTGATCTGCAAGAGTTGATTTGACCAAGTACAAGACATTAGTTACCAGCAAAAAAGTGCTACAGAACTCACTGCCTCCCCTCAGACAAAAGTACAGGAATTCCCCACAGCTATTAAAACTGGAAACTGAAGCAGAACAGCAAAATTCTTTGCTCAGATGCTTTGGTGAGTCAGTGGATAAGCAAGGAGTGGGACTCCCAGAGCCAAGAGTGTTGTTATTCATGATTTCATGACTAGCTCTTCTTTCTCACTGATCTCCCTTGTGCTGATCCTTGTCAAAACAAGGATTAGAAGTCTTTGTCTATTCAGATTTGCTCAGTAACTTGTTTAATGAGACCATTACAAGGGAATTGCAGAGATGATTGTCCCAAATTTCCAAACATTGAATCAGGACACTGAGATATTTACAGCTAGCTTAACATTACAGTATTTTGATTCCTGGCTCAGAAATTTTGCGGTAACATCTCACCCCAAACAACTTGTCCCCATTAACATGAAAACCGCAATGCTTCATCTTTCAGCTCCTTAAATTCCCTCCATGACCCCTTTTTATCTTCTATAAACATCTTGCAGAACATCTTCAACATCTCTCAATTCCTCTCTGTCCTGCTCTAAGTCAGTGCCTGATATCTAGTGGTGTTCATGTCCCTTTATCTTGCATTAAAAGCATTTCGGGTGATCTCTAATGGAATAGTCTGGATACAGTGGCAGGGAAAAATAATCTGCTTCTCAGCTCAGCATTTCCCTGCAAACCAGGAAGATTCAAACTCTTCAAATAGTTCCCAGTCACACATCTAACCAAACAGGGAAGAGGAACAGATATTGAACTAGTCACATCATGGATTCAACAGTTGGAGACAACCTAAAAACAGACCTAATTTTCTGCCATATCAAGAAACTTTGAGTTTGCTTTGGAATGAAATGATGACCCCAAAGGCAGAGAACAACTGTCCATAACAATTTTATAAGCTTTATCTTCCCTCCTAAAATTGTACCTACTAATTCCTATGGAAGAGACTATCCCAGAGCAATCATACAGCAAAGAGCAATTCCAGTAGTGGTAAGGAGCAGATTCAGACTTACCAAGTGGCTGAGAGGAACGAGTGAAGAGAAGAGGTTGGAAGAACCCTGAGAGGAGACAGCTTTTATACCCTTCAGACTGCCTGAGGGGTGAGAAGTTGCTTTCAGGAACGTGGAGTTAATGAGTTGACACAGCACATTTTTGTATTGATAGCTCTGCAAAGTGATGAAATTGTGGCTCTTTCTGTTTGTGTTTATTGCTTGATTCCAATTATCATCCAACGTAACCTTCGCGTTACATCACACCGGCTTCTTTCATCTGAGAGGCTGAAATGAACGCATCGTTCATCCTAAAACATGATTCATGAGAGATTTTTGGTGTGCTGAGGTTTATTTTTGAATCAGAGGATCATAGAAGCTCCTGAGCTGGAAGGGACCCACAAGGACCATCGCGTCCAACTCTTGTTCCTGCACAGCCCCAAAAATCCCACCCTGTGCTTAAGAGTGTTGTCCAAACTCTCCTTGAGCTCTGTCAGGGTTGGGGCTATGACCACTGCCCTGGGGAGCTGTTCCAGTGCCCAAACACCTCTGAGGGAAGAACCTTGTCCTGATCTCTAACCTAATCCTGTCCCAGTGCCCAAACACCTCTGGGGGAAGAACATTTTCCTAGTATTCAGCCTAACCCTCCCCTGACACAGCTCCAGATGTTCCCTGAGCCCTGTCACTGGTCACCAGAGCAGAGACCAGTGCTGCCCCTTTGCTGCCCTTCAGGAGGACATTGAGATGTGATACAATTCATATTGAAACCCATGGAGGATTCTCAATACTCTAAATCAAATTATGTTGTGAACATTCCCAAACACACAAATATCCAGATCAGCCTTAGGTTTTATCTGACCTTCAAACCACAACTTAGAGCTGAATTGAGTTCTGAGAGAGATTTGTGTCTAAGGATGAGGGTGGAAAGCTGAAAATAATAAAAGTGTACATTGAATTAGCGATTTAATTCATGCTTTACTGAATCAGCTGCACGTTTGTGCAGCAGGTGATGAGGCACTGGCACAGGTTGCCCAGGGAAGCTGTGGATGCCCTTCCATGGAAGTGCTCAAGGTCAGACAGGGCTTGGAGCAACCTGAGCCAGAGGAAGGTGTCCCTGCCCATGGCAGGGAGTTGGAATGAAATTATCTTTAAGGCCAAACCATTCTATGATTCTACATATGAAAAAAA